TATTCAGTAGTCCTCACGGTGAGCAATCATTTACCATGATAACAACCATAAGTTAACAAAAAGACAAATCATCTTGATACTTCAACGTGCTCTGCTATAAGTTCAGTTAAGTATCAATTATTAGTAAACAAGACCACTGCACTAGGGTACTTTAAAAGATAAGATTATTACATGATCCAGTTAACAAAAATATATGTGGTCATTTGCAAACTGCAAGCAAACGCTATTTAAAAAAAAATGAAATTCCATCGGAAAAACAGAAAAGTTTAAAAATGTTTTTATAATATAAATTCAATGCAGAAATCACCTCACATGAACAGTGCAAAACAGTTAAAGAATCTATTAATGATCATGCAAAAAAGTGCAGAAAAAAAAAAGCTGAAAAATGTTTTGCAGCAGAAAATTATAAGAATAAAAAGTATTAATTTCCCAATCAATGTCTGACTGCAAAGTGTAATAAATTATTACACTTTGCAGATTGTTTACGGTAAAACTGAGACATATTTGATTTTAAAGAATTTTTTTAGAAAGTAGTTTTTACTTACTTTATTTATCACTTTACCGATAATCCAAAATTTAATAACATACCTTCGCCAATTTGTTGGCCATATAATTTTCAGGATTTTTATTAAAATACTTTTTCAGGATTTTCATAGAAAAAAAAATTCAGGATTTTCATTAAGTCAAAAACTCATCTATGGGCCAAGGATAGAACCTTGATGAACCCCTGAAGTTACAGGATATGAAGAAGAGTGCTGTCCATTGAGGACAACTTTTATACTACGATTGGTAAGAAAGGATTCAATAATCTTAAAGATTATACCTGATATACCATAAGAGGAGAACTTATGGAGAAAACCAGTGTACCAAACTTTATTAAAGGCAGTAAAACAAGAAGATCGAAATCCATACTGATGATCAGAATGTAAGTTATTAGATTCAAAATAAGAGATTAAGTGTTTTGTAATTTAAGACTCAAAAACCTTTCTTATGATAGTAAAAAGACTAATTGGATGGTAGTTAGACAAGACAAATCGTTCTCCAGAACTTTTGAAAATAAAGATTTTGCAGCAGGCTAGAAAAAAAGACTTTGATAAGCACTTGTTAAATAGTTTTGAAAGTATAGAAGACAGCTACGGAGAACACTTCTGCAAGACTATAACAGGAATGCTATCTGGACCACAGGCTGTAGAAGAGTCTAAGCAGAAAATCACTTTAGATACAGAAGCTGGAGTGATACGAAGGTCAGGCAATGGATTGACCTGTTTGTCGGCTATATCAGGTTAGAACGTAAGGCTTGACTTGGAATCATCAAGAGGGAATAAAAGAATCCATGCCAGCATGAATCCAAGAAGTTACATAAGAAGCACATTTGACAGAAGGAAGAAAAAAGATTTCTACCCAAGGGCGATCACAAAGAAAACCAAGGAAAGAGTCCCAGTCAGCTTTAAGGTAGTTGTAAAAGGTAGGATAATAGAGGAATTCTAATGATAAAGAAGAATAAGATAATAGTTTTGGAGAGATCAAACCATGATCAGAAGCACCAAAGGGTGAATGTGGAGTAACTGAGCACTTACTAGAATTCGAAACAATATTTAGTGTCATACATTTCGTATTTAAAAATTTTGTTAATTTTTTTCATTACTTTAACTTATGAATTGCAAACTATTTGGTTTGCTTTTTTTCTTAAAAAAAATTGTTTTATAAAGTGGGGTTAATATGTTGTTGTTGTTGTTGTTTTTTTGTTTTGTCTTTTTTTATTTGGGGGGGGGGGGGTTAAAAATTTATGAATATAAATTTTTCTTAATTATCATTTTCTTACACATAACATTATTTAATTTAATGCAATCACTTGTTTTGTTAACTTTGAGTTTTAAAAAGACAAATAAATAATTTGCTTTTATGAAAAATTTACCTGACTTTTTGATACTACCTTTGGGATTATATATAAGCGCCCATAAATATTTTTGTTTTTTATTTATTACCACTTTTTAATTAATGCGTATAAGAAGTTTTAAGTAATAATTACAGCACTTAAGATTTATTTTAAAATAAACCTTAAGTGCTGTAACTATTTGTTTTAGTGGTACTTTAAATTGTGTCAAAATATTAGGAGGATTTCTTTTAGTTTAAACTTCAAGCATTAAACTTCTTGATATAAGTCTAAGAGTGTTATGGGGTTGATAACCACAAAATATTTTTGGTTTACCAAAAATATTTTGTGGTAATCTACCTTCTAGACATGACTATTTGCTCAATATAGACGTGTCTAGAGGGTTCTTTTCGCATTTTTTATATTTCATATTTCCCATTACCCATGAAAATTACCATTATTTCCTGGGAAAAAAATTAAAATCAAAGAATTACTTGTGTATATATTTTATTATATTAGGATAATTATTTATTCAAAATTATATTAATATCCAAAAAGCTATTTAATGTGTATAATCTGACTTCACCTATAATATAGAAAATTGTAAAAATCAAATCATAATTTTTTTAACCAAACACCATTTAAAGCAAACATAAAAGTCATTATTTATAATACAAATTGTTAAATGCTTCCCAGTGGCTTGTAAAACATGATTCCAAACAAACACATAAATTTCAAATACAAAACTCTAGTTACTCTTTAAAATTTGTAATTAAATTTATTATTCAAGAAAGTTCGAACAACTTTCAACTCTCTATGTATTGACAAGTTAAGTTTCAAAATATTCCTACTATTTTCTTTAACTCCAAAACTACTTATTTTGATCTAATATTTGTAATTTTTTTTATTTAGAATTGCCAAAACATTGTTTTAATTATGGCTGATTCAGTGTGTAAATATTTATTAAAGGAAAAAGCAGGCAAACAAGCCAAGTGTTTGAAATGTCCAAATAAATTATTAAGCGGTAAGGGCTAGCCAACCAGTGGATTAATAAGACATTTGCAACATATTCATAACGTTAATATCAAGAAAAGAAACTTAAATGACAATAAAATTGTTGGTCCAAGTAACTGTTAGACAATCCCTGCAAAAGCAAATAAGTCTCTTTCGTCTTTTTTTTCTAAGAAACAGTCCTTAGCAGAAATAGTGGCTTCCAAACGCACAATTTTTATTCAACTGCTTCTCCTGAGCTAACTTTATCTTTAAAAGCTGCAATTTTATGTTATGCAAATGACTTATTTAATAGATTATTCAGTGAAGATGTAAATATTGGAATTGAAAGTGAATCCGCTAAAGAGAATAATTGCTTAAAAGTTACAAATATTAAAGACAGATTGGTAATAGCTATAAATGCAGAATACAAACCTAAAAAGTGTGTTATAACTAAAGATTGTATCAAAGACCTCAAAAAAGAATTTCAAATGTATGAGAATACTGGAAGTATTACAAATAATTTTAAAAAGCTACTTAATGCCTTAACTTTCATACAACCTCAATAGAAAGCAAGAGAGTATTTTCAACAAAGATCATCACTTAGTGAATCATCTCTAGACTGCCTCACAACTTAAAAAAGTTATTTCCTGACCAAATAAGTTTAAAATATTTTTTGTTCAAGTAAAATTAATTTTTCTCAATATATATATTACATTTTAAATATGTATACTGAGGTGGAGCAATTTTCATGGCAAAAAAAAAAAGTTTGAAAATAAATATTCCTGAGACGCAAATTGATGTCAATTAATTGTAAGAAAAAAGTAAAAAAATATTTTCTGATTTTGATAAAAACAGGGGTTTTTAATTAAAAAAATGACTCAAAATCAGCAATTTAATTTTGCTTTTTTAAAAAAAATTTCAACAATATTAGGACCTGTCAAGAATTTAGAATCCAAAGAGGAATCAAAAATTTTTTAAATCACTCCACCTTAACACATACATATTCAAATTTTGTATATACTTTGATCTTTATTGACTTATTTGATTTTATCTTTGATATATATACCTTTGATATATATATATATATAAACAACCCTCAGATTCAGGAAAATTGAAGTTAGCAATTTTTTGCCAACCACAAACACTTTTAGGTTGGCAGTTAGGTTGACATTGCCGAATCAGTGGCGGATTAAGACTTCTTGAGGCCCGGGACTATTTTTGTTTTTGGAGGCATTTTTATGGGCCAGAGCCTAAAATGACTTGAAAAAAAAAACCTCTAAAATTTTTGGGGCCTCCTAAATTTGCAGGGCCTGGGGCTGTAGCCCCCTAGCCCTCTAGCCTCCCCCCTTTGATCCGGCACTGTGCCAAATGCAGACCTTAATTCCAAAGGCTGTATTTATATTTATATATATATATACATATATATATATATATATATATATATATATATATATAACAGTAAAATATATAACAGTAAAATATACAACAGTAATATATATAACAGTAATATATAATACCAGTATATTGGTTATTAAAAGTCTTATATTATAAATACATACATACATACATATATACATACATACATACATACATACATACATACATACATACATACATACATACATACATACATACATACATACATACATACATACATACATACATACATACATACATACATACATAAATACATACATACATACATACATACATACATACATACATACATACATACATACATACATACATACATACATACATACATACATACATACATACATACATACATACATACATACATACATACATACATACATACACAGCTGAAGATTTTATATGAAAGGCCTTCCATGTTTAGAGAAAAAATTAAAATATTTGTTAAAATGTGTCTAATAAATATATTTTATTTATCTTAGTTTGAATAGTTTTTCTTTTGTTACCTGGAATTTTTACTCCATATACATATATATATATATATATATATATATATATATATATATATATATATATATATATATATATATATATATATAACAGTAAAAAAAACAACATTAAAATATACAACAGTAATATATAATAAAAGTATATTGGTTATTAAAAGCCTTATATTATAAATATACAGAAAAACTAAAACCTGTGAAAGAGGCTCATCATCTTGCATTTCATTATCAGTTTTAATTTGACAAAGACACCTCTTTCTCAGTAGGTAACCAATAATGTTATCTATATGAAGTTGAACATCAAAACAAGTTTCATCAATAATTTTCACAAACAACTTACAACCTGAAAGCTCAATACAAACAACAGGAGTAAACTCCAGTCGTTGACTTGTAATAATGTTCTTTGGCGACTGACTGGTTTTTTTCATGGTGATTGTCATATTAGTAATAAAGACTACAATTTCTTTTTCAAATGAATAATTCACATTTTGATCTGTAGAAGCTTCACTGATTCCTGGCACCATGGACAGTGCCCAAGTTGTCCAACTTGAACTACTTTCGGTGGAAGGCACTACAGATAAAACTTTACTTTTTAATTTACTCATTTTAATAATTTCTGGGGCGGTATGGATTTTATCTGGACAACCAGGTAAATCAAGCTTTCCATAATAAAGACCTATTATTAAATTGATAAGCCGCAAAACCATAGGCAATTGTTGATCTGTCAATGATAGGTCAACACTTTCACAAAATATATTTATTATGTTATGTATAGAATTCAAACTATTAATGGTAGGGTAATGAGATGAAATGCGACATTGAAGGTTACATCTGTACAAAATCGGGTCTTGATACAACTCAATTTTACCACTTGGGTTTCTTTGATCCAAACACACTGTAAGATCAGTAACTATAGCTACTTTCCTTAACAACAGTTCTGGAAGACTAAGCTCTGTAAATGCTTTCTTCCAAAATTTGTCTGCACTATATAGATCAACTGACTTTATATTTACTGAAAACACAAGATCCTCCTCAACATATTTGACAATGACATTGTTGATTTTGAAAGATATGTTGTTTACTACTTTATTAAGAATCCCTTGGACATAACCAGGAGTGTATTGTTCCGACTGAACAGACTGAAGTTTTGCTGATGAAAAAGAATCTGGTTGATTGGAACTTTTGTTGGAATGTGAATGGCTAGAGGATAAAGCTTCACCAACATCTTTCAAGCGGATGATGAATTCCATTGTGTCAATAGTAACCACAATAGGTTCATAAATTAACTGTGTCCAAGGTACATGAAGCTGAAGTTTATATATTTTTCCACTTAAAAACGTAACAGGTAGATTCAACTCCTAAAATTATATAGCTACAATTAAAAAAATTTGTATATATTATATTATGCAATATCTTACAGTGTACAAAATAACAGGCATTCAATGGGCCACCTGAAGTATAGTCAAAAAGTCAAGTTTGCTGTTTTGAGCTCCCAAAATGAATTCTTGTTTGCCAACGACCAGTTAAAAGTATCTGATTTTTAAAAAATAAGTTGTTACAAACAACATATTTTGAAAATAATAAAATTTTATAACATCTAAAATAATTTAGACTATATTTTGAAAAAGTGCTTAAAATATTTTTATTGTTTATAATTAGCTGTTTGTCTTTAGTTTTACTTCATGGTAAAACCAATGGTTTCTTTTTATATAGGGAGACCAAGGCAAGATGACTACATTAACAATTTAAGTTGTTTATTATTTTATTTTTAAGGATAGTAAAACTATTTTTTACATGAACTGTTAGATTAACCATTTGTGGCGTTAAATATATTATGATTTAATTATTTAAATGAAAGAAATAAAGGATAATTTCATTTTTCCACAACCATATCAAACTTTCATCTTGCCCCAGTACTGAGGCAAGATGATTTAGACCTTATAGCAAGATGACAACACTAAAAAAAAAGGCATGTTACATGTTTCTGTTGCATACAGAGATGTTTAAGTATGTAAGGAGCTTTTTTTTTAAGTAACACCTAATGGAAAAAAAATTTAAATATTGGGGCCCTGGTGACAGTTTTTTTTTTTTTTTGAGAGGGAGGAGGAGGGGTGCCTCAGACCTTGTAGCCACAGCACTGATAAGACTCCTATACTTTTTGAAATTTTAGCGCACAAGCATTTTTATTACATTTTTTTCAGTAGACTTCAAAATATATTTATAGCTTGTTATTTTTATTCAATAATAACAAAATATGAATTACCTTTTTTTCTGTTGTTTAAAATGATGCGTAGAAATCTTAATAACAATTATCACCTACATATATACGCTAATACTTTTTCAAGCACAAGCATGCATATTTAGGGGTATATAAAATGTATGGTTAATATGCTTACTACAAAAGTAAATTAAGCTTTGACTGTAACTTTGGGCACAGTCATGCTCATATATATGAATATATATAAATATATGAAACATAAATATAAATGAAAAAAATCCCACATTTTCAAGGAACTTTAATATTTAATCTTAATGTAACCTAAAATGGTAAAAGATATGTAAGTTATGTTTATTAAAAACATTTCTTTGTTTGTGTAAAACACCTATACTTTTTGAAACAATACTCTACAAGTTCGCAATCAGAGCAGCACAACTTAGTAGACCCAACGTATTTTATATTGTTGGGCCAACAAAACGTTTTGGTAGGCCATAAGTTGGCATAGTGTTGGCATTTGATCGGCTGTCTATCATGCCATCGTGATGTTAGCGCCGTATTAACTCAGCATTGTAAGCTGCATAGGCCAAACCAACTGGAGCAGTTGGCATAATGTTGGTATAACTTATTTTATAGCAGGTTGCCCTTACATTGGTGCACCTTTGGTTTAAGATTAAAGGTGTCACTTTGCCTTAGCAAAATATTACAGTCGGTGTAATGTTGGCATATGATCAACTGCCCATTGTACTTACATTAACATTGTGTATAATCAACATTGTAGGGTATGTGTTGGCATTTTGTTAAATAATTTTATGCACAACATTGACCGAACCATGCGCTACATTTGATGATGTGTTGGTACAAGGCATTTTATACCAGGTTGACCTTACATTAGCTTTTAAGGTTTAAGGTTTTAAGTGCTAAAACTGCTTATTAAAACAACTTTGCAGTTCAATAAAGTTCAGATAAATTTAAGGGTTTAAAATAAAATATAGTACAATTTAAATATACTTAATTCAAAAACTTCTATAGTTTGATTAAATGCAATGTCACCTTGAAATGCGCTTAAGAAATTCTAAGGTTTAACTTTTAAAAATTCTAATCTCTATATTTCAAAAAACTCCATAAATCGAATGGATTTTTCAGACCCATCAGTAAGATTATCTATGTAATAATCAAATTTTTTAAATTTCTGACGTATAAAATACTTGTTAAACCGTCAAACTCTTTTTTTAAATTTCGAATATTTTGAGTTATTGAAAAACGATTAGTGTGCATTATTTTCTTCTGTTTAAAAAAGACATAGCATCAAAGGAAATACGAAGCTCAACTGAAATTGGTTATCATACCTCTGTCTGTCGGTTGCAATACCTCTGAAGGACACACCAATTGTACGAATCCAAAGACATGAAATAACGAATAATAAACATGTAAAAAATATTTCATATTTAGTTTTTTAATTTCTATTAACTATAAATAGTCACCAGCACATATGATTTTTGTTTAATTAAATAAATATCATTCAGGTCAGGTCAGATTGTCCTGCTGCTGGTAACATCTAACCCAGTACAACCTGCTTCATATCCTACTGCCTTGTAGGATATGCGTTTTTAGAAAAAAACTAGGCCAACTCCAACTTTAAACACCCCCTGCCTTGGGGCTCATGGTTGACTAAAGGCTAGAGATGGTGATTCGATAAAAATATCATCTTGGGCAGATGTTAAATGCATCCGGCCACTGTCTTGTAGAAGGCTTCCTAGGCACGAACTTAAGGGCTAAACAGATTCTATCTGTTGATCAGCCTCACACCCCTTCTACATCTGGGTCTTCTTAACTCAATGCATGGGTTTTAGTTGTGTCTCTGTTTTTATGACTAGGCAACTTATTCTATTACCTCCAAATGAGGGTACAGCTCTAAAACTCAGCTTTATGGTTCTGAGGACAGCTGGTAGTCAGGTTTCCAGAACTCTGTGGTAACTCAAAGAGAGGGTGAATCCATCAAAAGCTAAAAAATATAAAAGTATTAACAGTGCCATGTTATGCATGGATGGTGTCCCTGTTCGTACTTTTGGTGTGCCTTATCGAGGCCACATTTTGAGCCCTTTGTTACGGCTTAGGGTTTATTAATAGTAATGAGGCAATTGCTTGGGCTATTAAATAGTGTACCAAGTAGAGTCTATGCTTTGAGTCAAGTTCTTTAAAAAATTGAAAAATGAACAAAGTACCAAAAACTATAAAACACAAAAAACCATCGACATCACCAAGTTTGCTAAACCAATCATTCACTAATATTCGTGGTCTTCAAAGTAACTTTTCTTCTTTTGAGTTTTATCTCTTACAGAGTTCACCAGACCTACTTGCTCTTTGTGAGACTAATTTGAGTTCAGATGTCTCATCTTGTGATCTTAGTGTTGATGGTTATCTTCCTTTAATTCATAAAGACTCCAATAGTCACAACTTGGCCTGAGCATTTACATTCATAAGAATTCACCCATTTGTTGAGATTTGAATCCACAGACTATTCTTTTATGTGCTTTTGTTTAGCACCGCTTCACCTTATTGTTTTTCTCTTTGTTCTATATCGCTCTCCTTTATCTCAATACTGCACGCTTTGTGATGTTATTTCTAATCAAATTGACCGAGACCTCTCTCTTTATCCATCAGCCAATATTGTGGTTGTTGGTGATGTTAATGCTCATCACACTGAATGGCTTGGCTCTAGTGTCAGTGACTCTACAGGCATTAAAGCCCACAACTTTTGTCTTTCTCAATCTTTAACTCAAATAGTCAATTTTCCAACTCGCTTCTCAGAAAACCCAAATCATTAACCTTCTCTACTCGACTTATGTCTTGTTTCTGATCCTAATCAGTGCTCAGTTTCTTCACATTCACCCTTAGGTGCTTCTGATCACGGCTTGATCTCTCTAAAACTATTATCTCATTCTTCTTTATCATCAGAATCCCCCTATCATCGTATGTCTTACAACTACCTTAAAGCTGACTGGGACTCTTTCCATGATTTTCTTTGTGACAGCCCTAGGGTAGAAATATTTTGTCTTCCTGCTTACAGATGTGGCTCTTACATAACTTCATAGATTCAGGCTGGCATGGAACCTTTTATTTCCTTTCGACAATTCCAGGTCAAGCCTCGCTCTTCTCCATGGTTTTCGACACATTGTGTTGCTGCAATAACCAATCAAAATCATTACTTCCATATATATCAGCAAAACAATTCTCCAGAAAACAGATGTCTGTTTATTACTGCTAGAAACCATGGTAAAAAAAGTTTTGTCTAAAGCCAAAGCTCGTTATTCTCAGGTCATGAAATCTCGTATTTCATCATAAAAATTAGGCTCTCATGACTTCTGGAGAATCTTTAACAGTATTAATAAGGGCAAATTTGTCATTCCACCTCTCTTGTAAGGTTCAGACTTTGTCACTTCACCTAAAGACAAAGATGAATTGTTTGCTAAGAACTTTTTATCAATATTATCTCTTAATTCCACTTGTTGCGTTCTACCTGATATAGCTGTTAAACAGGTTGATCCATTGTTTGACATTAGTATTACTCTAGCTTCTGTATCTAAAGTAATTTCCTGCTTAGACTCTTCAACAGCTTGTGGTCCTGACAACATTCCTGTTGTAGTCTTGCAGAGGTGTTCTCTGGATCTGTCATCTATACTTTTAAAACTATTTAACAAGTGTTTATCAGAGTCTTGTTTGTCAGCCTGCTGGAAAGCGGCATCTGTTATCCCTATTTTCAAAAATTCTGGAGAGCGATCTGATTCCTCTAACTACTGTCCCATTAGTCTTTTTCCTATCATAAGCAAGGTTTTTAAATCTTTAATTAGCAAATACTTAATCTCTCATCCTGAATCTAATAACTTACTTTCTGATCATCAATACAGATTTTGATCTTCACGTTTTACAGCTGATTTGCAAACAGTAATAACCAATAGGTTTTATCGTGCATTAGATAAAGGTGGAAAGATTAAGGCTATCGTTTTCGACATTTCTAAAGCTTTTGATAAAGTATGGCATGCTGGTCTTCTCCATAAGCTTTATTTTTACAGTGGATATGGTGACATCTTTAAGATTATTGAATCCTTCCTTTTCAATCGTAGTATAAAATTTGTCCTCAAT